AAGGGACTCCTCAATTTTTTTCATTGAATAAGTTAGCCTCATCAAAGGGTTGATCCTCCATGGTATTTTGTACCTCCCGGAGGAACCACAAGAAGTAGAGCCAAGACTCATGCCTCATGACAACTGCTGAAGCTATCCCTCCCGAAGTAATGTCAGCAACAGCCACTGCAGCCTGAAGAGATGTTTTAGCTACCAATCTGCCTGATCACTGAGGGCTTGGAATTGGTGTCCTCTGAGAAAACTTGTCTTTAAAGTACAAGGATTTGGAGTAGTTGGTGAAATCATACTTTGCTAACAGGGCCTGGTAGTTAGTAATTCTAAACTAAAGGCTGATGAAAGAAAACACTTTCCTCCCTAGGAGATCAAGGTGATTAGCACCCTTATCAGTGGGTATTGCCTTGGGATGCTGCAACTTCTATCTGTCAGTGGCTGCTTGTATCACCAAGAAGTTGGGTGCTGGACGTGTAAACAGGAACTCTGCTCCCTGGCTGGTACAACATAATGGCTGTCAGCCTTTTTTGAGGTGGGAATGCAGCAAACAGGAGTATGCCAAACTTCCCTGGCTGGTTCCATAATGGCCTTGTCACAGGAAGGGCCAGCTGGCTAGGAGCAGAAGGCTGGAGAATGTCCAGGAGCCTATGCTGAATATCCTGTACCTCCTTGAGTTGGATCTGGAGGTCTGTTGCCTCCCTCTGCAGGAGCTCTTGATATTGCCTGTAGTCATCAGGCAAGGATGGCAAAGATAGGGGCAACTGTCTCATCTGGCGAGGAGGAGGATACATCTGTTGCAACTGTCTGTCCTGGTGCATCCAGCTCAATTTCGTCGCCCTTATAGTTCAACAGAGGGAGTTAGGCAAGGGTAGGTGGGATTCATGCACATGGATCCTGGGATCCATGAATCCAAACAATACCAGTATGAAGGGTCAATCATTAGAGGGGGACCCCATGGCATTGGGTACAATTGTTACCCTGGATAGTCACATCTGAAGAGAAGACTGATCCCAGACCTTCAGGAGCCTCTGTCCAGGCTAGCCTCCCTATCTGAAGGTGATGTTCCATCTGGAACCTCCGACATGGCAGACAAGAAGGGGGGTTCCAGTTCAACCAGCAAAGCCATTGGTAATGGTGGATGAATGCTCCAGCTGGGTGGAATAGGGGAGTACTCTGGTCTCCTCAAGGTGGTTTCTTCCTCAGATGTCTCTGATTAGGGTTGTAGACAAAAAGGAGGAAATTGCAAATAAGGTAGGGTAAAGATATCCTCTGGGGAGGTGTAGGTTTTGGGGTATCCCGGAGTGCAGCATGTTCCAATGGTCAGGACCACCAGACCCGCCCTGGCCCCAACCACGCAGCATTCCTCCTCCCTCCCAGGCTTGCAGCATGGCGGGGCAAGCCTGGAAGGAGGGGGTGGCGGCGGTGCCTGGATCCTGGAGCTGGTGAGTCAGCTCCGGCACCCGGGCACCGGGCAGGCGGGCAAAGGGGAGCTGGCAAGGGAGGGAGACGGGGGGCTCAGCTGTGAGCCCCCCGCCGCGCCAGAGGGCTCCTGCCCAGGCCGCTGCACTCGGGGCCGGGAGCTCAGCCTGGAGGCTGCTCCAGCCCTGCAGCCCGCGGGGCAGCGCGGTGGGTCTGGGCGGGGGCAGCGCGGAGCGGGCAGGGGCCGGGTGGGCGGCGCAGGGGGGTGGGCCGAATCCCTGCTGCTGCCGGGGAGCCCTGCGCCTCTCCCTCCCGCTTGCGGCTGCGGCTCCTTCCCGGCAGGACGCGCCCCCCGGCCTGCCCCGGGCACATGCGGCGCGCGTCCAGCTGCTCCTTCCCGGCGGGAGGGAGACTAGGCGCAGGGGAC